GGAACATAGGACGCGAGTGTCGGGCTGGGGTAGAGGAAGCTATACCAGTAAAAACTATAGCATGAGAAATTCGAGGTACAGAAGCAGAGGAAGTGGTAAAAAGTGGAACCGYAGCAGAGACAAGTGYTGTAGTAGGAACCGCAGCAGAGGCAACTTCCGTAGCAGGGACCGCAGCAGAGGCAACTTCCATAGCAGAAACTGCTGGAGTGAAACCCGGAGTTGAAACAGCAGCAGTAGAAACTGCAGTAGTGGAGACCACAGCGGCAGCAGCAATAGAAACTGCAGCAGTGGAGACCACAGCGGTGGAAGCGGCGGCGGTGGGAACCGCAACAGTGGGAACTGCATTAGCAGCAGATGAACAAGCAGTGACAGGACGAGCAGCGGAGGCAACTTCCGTAGCRRAAACTGYTGGAGTGAAACCCGGAGTTGAAACAGCAGCAGTAGAAACTGCAGCAGTGGAGACCACAGCGGTGGAAGCGGCGGCGGTGGGAACCGCAACAGTGGGAACTACATTAGCAGCAGATGAACAAGCAGTGACAGGACCAGCGCGATGTGGGGATAAAGAAGAAAGTGGGTGATGCAAGGACCATCGCAGCATGCGTCGGAACCACTGAAAGAGACGGGTGACATGTGTAGGATAGCGACGTTGGCATATATAATATATTTACATATTACATACATACATTTATATATATAGACGAAATATATATATATATATAAACGAAATATATATATATATATATCGTCACAAATAGTCGGTGAAACTCCAACGAAACAGTTTGTCACAGCCCCTCGTTTGTTGTCCTCTTCTCCCTCTCTGCCTACGGTTTACCGGGCAGTTCTATTTGACGATATATATATATATATATATCGTCACAAACAGAACTGCCCGGTAAACCGTAGGCAGAGAGTATATATATATATATATTGTCACAAAGTTATCAGAGCGCCAAAGCGAGAAAAAACAACAACAAAAGGAAGCAAGAAAGATATCAATTCATTTTTTGTGTTCTTACTCACAACTCCCCAAAAGGCAAAGAGGCAAAGAAAAGAGGAAGGGAACAGCCAAATATAACAAAACAGGGGGCAGCAAGATCCTGGATGACAAGCACCACATATAAGCACCGCCCCGAACTTCACAGGCCGAACAACGGGACAAGACCAACCAGGATATCAAAACACTCTTGCCTGCAAAAAAAGTAAGAAGACAAAAAATGAATTGACATCTTTCCTTTCACATCGACCAAAGTGTTACCTTCCTGTGATCGTGCCAAACCATGTCCTTTCCGTATTATTGAAATGCCGCATCTTTCCTTCCAAATCGACCAGATTCTTACCTTCCTGATCATGCCAAACCATGTCCTTTCCGTATTATTGAAATCAGCCAGAATGTTAGTCCATAGTAGAAGTTGGATAGGATGTTCAGGAAGGGGCTTTGAGAAAAGGGAGTCCCAGAGGTCCGACGGCCTGGCCCAGTACTCCATCGCTTCGTTACAGCGTATTAGGCAGTGAAGAATGTCTTCCGGCTTGTTATTTTATGAGGATTGACCTCCAAGCCCATGAGTTGGAGCTATTGTAATAGGAACCCTTGCAGGCCCTTTTGGACGTACGTACGTTAATGGCAGCCCAATGTTTTGATATCAATTCAGCCCAACCGGTGTACGCTCTCTGTCAGCCCAACCTGACCTGCTCTGTTGTCTAGCTGTCTCTTATACACATCTAGATGTGTATAAGAGACAGGTATTAGGCAGTGAAGAATGTCTTCCGGCTTGTTATTTTATGAGGATTGACCTCCAAGCCCATGAGTTGGAGCTATTGTAATAGGAACCCTTGCAGGCCCTTTTGGACGTACGTACGTTAATGGCAGCCCAATGTTTTGATATCAATTCAGCCCAACCGGTGTACGCTCTCTGTCAGCCCAACCTGACCTGCTCTGTTGTCTAGTGGCTCGACAGTACCACTCTCAACATTACCGTCTTCGCCCGAATTGAAACCCTGGTAATTGTGCCTCGTACGGAGGGAAAAGAAAAAAAAAAGAACGCCTGGTCATCATAGTTGTATTTAGGGCAACTTTCAATCTTAGCTATAGCTACAGCTATAATGACGGGGCGTTCTATTCAGGTGAAGAGTCTGCAGACAGTATTACCAAACATAATGGAAGTTAGAATAGATAAATAAATATATAATAATCAATTAAATTGAATTAATTAATTAATTAATTAAAACAAATAGAAAAAAAATAATAATAAATATTAAATAGATAATGGGTCTTGCATTTGGCTCCAGAGCAAATATGCACCTACCCCTGAGGGCCTTAAAGTCGATCGGCTCCGGAATCTGGCCAACTACCTCATCATTGGCTTTGCTGAAATACCCACTCACGGGGTTGTAAAGCGAATCTTCAATGTAATCTCTGACCTGCAAGCAAAACAACAGTCAAGCCCAGGTTCTCAGGAGGGGGGGGAGGGGGGGGGGAGGGGAAACGACTAGCCCAGGTCACATGATTATACAGGCAAGAAGATGAGATAGATGAGAGAAGAATATAGCTTACTAAGCCTTACTTTAAAAAAAAAAAAAAAAAAAGGAAGAAAAAAAAAACAAAAAAAAACAAGAAGTTAGAACCGGTGGGGTTGCGTGGCACTTTCTTGATGCGCTTGTCCCCCCCCCCCTCCTCACTATCAGTGGTTCCAGACGTCCAAGGGGCCCACAACAAGTTGTCGGAGTAACCAGTGGGCCTAGCTCACTTGGTACACACATGAACAGTTGAGATATAGACCGGAGCTCAACTCCATGACCGTATCTCAAGGTAGTTTCACCCTTCTTCAAAAAGGGGAAAAAGAAAGTTCTTTTAAGTCCAGAGATTCTTACAGCAGGTTCTTTGAAGGCGGGCGCTGGCTATGGGCCTCGCCACGCCACTGTCGAAAGGTGAAATAGACAAAAAAGTGGCGGGCACATCTGCCATGTTCTGGTGTAAGGTTCATTCTCATTTTGCACATTTCCAGAGTGGTGTGGCGATGCCCTGTGGATGGAGGAATTGATTTCGACGGAGAGAGATGTTGTCCTTTAGAACCGGAAACATAAACAGAGTAGCTGCTTGGGGGCGTGTTCACGCTTGGATTTCCCCTGGATGCATCTGACTGCTATTCCAGCCAGGTTCTGCACAGAGAATATGAATATGCCCTTAGTGGATGACAATAGTCTTCTGAAAACTAGGGGCTGAAGCACTTTCGGCAGATGCATGTGGGTTGACACCACCAGTACACCCGGGCCTGGTGAAGCTGCACTCTGCCCGAGGTGCAAAATTTTCGGAGTATGGGACGAGCAAATCTCCACACTGCTGGGGCCGTGAACTGGCGGTTTAGGGAAACCCAGTTCAATGCTCGGTAGAGGGTAGCACATAAATCAAGAAATGTCCAAATTTAACGGGAAATTGAAAGGGAAAAAAACAGAGGGTAGCACATAGCGGAGGCCCCCAAGTACCATTCCAATCACGTGGGTGCTTTCCTTCTCTTCTTCCTTTTTGTTTTCTTTCTTTTCCCATAAATTTGGACTATTTCTCGATTTATGTGTGTCATCCTTGCGCAGGGACGATGCTAAGGGTGTGCTCCACTGCGGGGTCTTCGAGGAAAATTCCCCTTCTTAAATTCAAAACTACGCCATGCCGTAAGATTCCGTGGGGCTCCACCTACCGGCCCTTTCGAGGGACTCTCACAAAAACAGTGCCACGCAACATGGGCAAATTGTGCTCTCCATTTTCACGCAGTCCCAGGCCATTAAGACTTATTATATCCCATCATGATTCCAGGATTCGAACTCAGATCTGTTTATCAACAGTTGCGGTATGGGTGTACACTATTCAGCCACATGGGGTGGGTACATGAAGCTATTTTGGCAAAAGCGCTTCGGGTAAACCGGATCGGCCTTCGACGGGTTGGGCCACTGTGTCAAGCGCATCGGCCCCCACCTTTTCTCGCGAAGAGGCGGGAGCCCTCCCGGCCATGTCACGCAGGAGTTTAAACAAAAGCTATAGAGAAAACTTGGAGACTACGCAAAAAGAATCATGCGAGCCACCGAGACGGGCGTCGTTGTGTCGTCCCTTCGCCGCTTTAACCAGGTGCGCCAGCCGTACTTCCCACAGTCCCCTACGACAGGATAGGTTCCCACGGGGCACTCTTGCCTTCCCTAAGGGGCTGTCACCACCCTTAGGAGCGTATCCCTACCGAGCTACTGACCCACATGCAAAAGCTTTCAGATAAAATCGCAGAGGTAGATCAGCCGAGGGCATTTGCTCGTTCGCTGTAGTATAGAAGGGAGCCCATGCGCTCCACAACATTGTCTAAGGGTTGGTCAGGTCTTGTCTGCTTTGAAAGTGTCTTTTTTTTGTTTTTTGTTTTATGGAAAGCAAGTCTGAACGTGCTCGTTATGGGACGCTGGGCCCGGTTCCCAGTTTGTGCCAATTTGTGAGGATATGGTTGTATCTATGGGATGCTGGACCCGGTTTCCGGGAGGTGCTGCTCCCCACCAATAGATGGAGCTTGTTCAAAAAAAGAAAGTAAAAAAAAAAAGTCTTTATTTAAAAAAAAAAAAAAAAAATGGGAAAGGCGCCCGGCGTCCCTCCCACATAGAAGGCCGCCCAATCGTATGATTCGGGCACTCCAACCAGGTTCATACCAGGGTTGCCGAATCTGAGCAGACCAGAGTTCGCAACCAGGATTTTTAGGAATAACTGTAACTAAACTAACCACACACTTTTCGAAAACCAACCAACCGTAACCACTGTATACCAGGCCTACCGCACCTTTACCTACTTCCAACCGATCCAAAAAAAAAAACGGGTAACTGTACCCGCCCATTCCTGAACCTCTGCAGACTGTAACTGCTCGTACCCGCCCTTTTTTTTTTTTTTTTTTT